GACCACCTCCATACGATCGACATAGACTACGAGGCTAGGCAAAAAGCCAAAAAACTGGCTGGGGCCCTTAACCGTCGGACCACCTTTCGATGGTCGACATAGCTCATGCAGCAAGGCGGAGAGCCTTGAAAAGCTAAAAAATCGGCTAAGGACCCTAACCAATACGCTCCTCTCTCAAGTACATCTCGACCCACGTGGCTAGGCAGAAAGACCTAAATGGTCAGAGTATAGGCTAAGGCCATCAATCATTGTAATCAAGCATACGTGACTAATGACATTTACCCATGCTATCAAACAACTGAACGTGAAAAATAACACTGGGAGAAACAAGTTTCAACATCAATAACCGCTTATAACATAGCATTCATACAAAAAGCATGTGATGTACTATTGCCCACACCCCGGGAAAGTAGGAAATGATGCCACAAATAGAAATAAAAGGCGACACAAAGAATAGGAGAACTAACAAAGGTGCTACTGCTAAGCCATGCTTCAACTCGAGGGGGAAACACCACCACTGCTGTCCCGCGACAAAAGACCAAGTGACCTAGATGACTGTGCCCCACTCTCCTTCCCCTTGCGCTATGCAAGGAACTTATCAAAACCTGAGGGGGCAATAGAAGGGTGCTCGATCGATATCCCCCCATACGAATGTAAAGCTCTAGCGTAATCAGGCGATGATTTGTATTGCTCAACAGAAGCCTCCAAGTCCCTAGTGTACTCAGCAGAGGCCTTATACCACTCAACCGCCTCTTCCAGAGCACGAGCCAACACAGACCACAAATTGTCGTTCTCTGTCTCCTGCTCACGAGCTCGAGCCTCCGACGCTTCTACAGATTTCTTCAAGGAAGATATCTTCTTCTTGTAGTGATGAGCCTCCTTTTTCTTTTCCTCCGCAAGAGTCTTTAGCTCTAAGGCCTAGCGACAACTCGATTCAGCAAGCCCAATCTGAAGGGCCACCATCTAAAAGATGAGAAGACAATATGAGAGTCGAGTGGTATAACCATGCACTATATAAATATAAGCATACCCTCTAGAGATAAACCGTCGCAGCCCTCTCGATGTCATCTGTGCTACATCCTGCAATCGCCCTGGCCTGCGCGGGTGTCACTAAAGACTTAAGTACCTCCATCTCATGATAACCCCAGGTGGGAGGAAACCCGAAATTAGGAGGTGAACCCTCACGCTCCCCCCACGTGCGACTGGAAGAGCCCGGCCTACGAATATGAGCAACATTGATAGGCTTATCTGAGGGCTGGAGAGTCTCTTTTGCTACTTGAAAATTTTTCCCCTTAGTCAGCCATCTTTTTCCTTTTTAAGGGGGTGGGGCATGGCTCAATGTCACTTCCACGCCCTTGTTCGGGATAGAGTACATGGTCCCTCCAAGTCAAATTTCATCCCTGTACATTCAAGGTAAGGCTCGTCAAGCTCGCAAAACAAAAGAGTGTGAGAACACAAAACAAGAAATGGAAGCTCAAGAGTTTACTGTCAATAGGAGCGAGGCCCTCGTCACCTCCCGACAGGGTCTTCAATACCTCGTCCAGGTCGAAGTCCATATCTATATGCACACGCCCAAACAGATTAGACCCAAAAAGCAACAAATAAGAAATGTGTGCATGTCAAGAATAATAGGAACCGGTGGAAGCAGCCTACTAGTAGGACGACTCATCCCTACTATCAACGTGTTCCTCATGGTCAGGATCGATCCTAAGTCAGGTGCAAGAGGAGGTATATCAACCAGCTGTTGGATTTGAGCTTTTAGAGTAGAGGAAGCTTCTACTTGACTTAAGTCAGGTGCAAGAGGAGGTATATCAACCAGCTGTTGGATTTGAGCTTTTAGAGTAGAGGAAGCTTCTACTTGACTATTGAAAAGGCGAATTTGAGGATGCCGCCAATAGGTATTAAAAGGAAACCGACCTGCTGGAGGCGGGGCAAAGAAAAATCGAGAATTCCAACCGCTATTCGAATTCCTGAACTTAGGAAATAGCAAAGGGACTCTAGTGGTAAAAAAGACAAATGCATTACACCGAGCTAATTTATGCATCTCAAAGACACACCTAAAGAGGTCCATGTAAAGCGAAATTCTCCTCCTAAGACAAACATACAAGAAGTACAACGCTTTTCTCCAAACATTGGGGTTTATTTGACTAGGAGTGAGATGAAACTCATTGAAAATTGAATGAAAAAGGGATGAATGGGTAGCCGGAAACCACCATCCATGATGTCCTTATACACCACTATCTCGCGAGGGTCAGACCCGAGGAGCTTCTCTTTGGGACCGAGGGCTCTATAGATATAGTCGTCGACCCGGTTATACCTAGCAAGACATTTCTCTAACTTAAGCGAGGAATTGTAAAGGCTATAACTTTTTGGAATTTCAAGGGGGACGACCTCGCCAGCCGGATCTCGCTCGACTTCTAAGTTTTGGTTTGGAGGCTTGGTGGAGCCAATATGTCTCTTGGGTGAATTCGAAATAAATGCCTGAGAATCAATTGAAAGGATTTGGCTATCAGACTCACAAGGAAACCTGTCAGACAAAGGGGGGAGGCTGAAGCAACCAACCGCGCGGACAGGCGGCGGGGGACTGGTCGGCCGACCGACTAGCCGGTCGGATCTTTTTCGACGTCGACCGGTCCCTCATTACTATTTTCATCGGAAGAAGAAGAAGAGAGGATAGTTTTGTACATGATTTTACAAAAAATGAAGAAAAAAGAGGAGAAAGTTACCTTGGAAAAGAGAGAACCTTGGAAGAGAGAAAGAACTAAGATGTTTGGAGTAGAAGAAAATGGTTCACATGTGAGGGACCACTCCCTTTTATAAGCAAAAAGGATTCAAAAATTTTGGAGGGAAAATTCCCTCCAAGATCATGCCCATTGGTTGGGTGCCAAGTGTACAGTAGAATAGCTGCCCAAACCAAATTGCACTACTCGATTTGTTCACTCGAGCTAATTTTATTTTAAAAAAATCCGTATAAAGGAAGTTGATACTCCTCTGTCGAAAAAATATCGACAGGGAGTAGGGGGCTAATGATATCAGTTAACATAAGAAATTACTTCCAAAGATAGGCAATGTAAATCATGACACGCTAATGTGAAGTCATCAACCCCCCGAGGTGCGTCTACCTCTACAAGAGACCATCAACCCCCTGAGGTGCTTCTACCTCTACAAGAGACCATCAACCCCCCAAGGTGCTCCACCTCTACGCGAGACCATCGATCGCCCTGAGGGCTCTACCTCTATAAGAGATCATCAACCCCCGGGGGTGCTCTACCTCTATGCAAGACCAGTGACCAGCATGGAATTACCTATAAGGTCATCTCAACACTTAGCCTCGAAATCTCTGATGAATTAACAAGGTTACATGGTGGTCAATATGAACACAACCTCTGTGGGGTAGTTAATAACTACACCCACTCAGAACGTGGGAATAATGGGAAGGTCAACGTGGGACACGTGGTACCACAGGCACCCGGCTCTCACTCGGCTTCTGACGTCTATAAATACCTTCTAAGGGCGATATAAGTATGGATGATTGCTTATTTTTTAGCTTTCTGAATTCTGAATTTATTTTTTCCTAACACACCTACTGATTCTCACACCGGAGGTAAAATGGGGGAGAAAGCCCCGACCTCACTTTTGCATATAACAATTGATAATCGAAACGACGGAAGCACCCTACACTGCCAAGAGGGCACGGAGGTTCTTTCCTTAACCATTTCAACTTAAAAGTAATAATAACTTTCAAGTTTGATCAAATTTGTAAATTCAAAGTTACTTAAGTAACTTTTGTCCCCAAACATTTTATTTCTCTTTATATGTTGCTTTTTTAACAAAAAATTTCTTTTTAAAAAGCACGTTCACTTAAAAAGGTAACTCTGCTTCTTTTAAGGATTTAACAGAACAAACTCTATTTATTTTAGGGTTCTAAAATGTGTAATCCAGTGGCAATATGCTTAATTATGCATTTTTCACTTTTTAATATTATTTTAAATATTCCAAGCTAATAAGTAAATAAAATAATGCATTATAACCTTCAAAATTATTATAGCTTATGAAAGAATTTCATAGATATTTTTCCATAAAATTAAAAATTAGAGGAAAAAAAGGACATTCAAAGTTTTGATTAGGCGAGCAATACCAAAATAAAAAATGCATCTTCAAGTTTTTGCAACTCGATGAAGATCTTAACTGTGAAATTAGAGGAAGACCGAATGAGGAGGAGGATCAAGTTCGACGTAAATAGTTTGCAACTCTACGAAAAATTTGTTTTTGATTTTTCTAAACATCAAAACCCTACAGATTGTTGTATTTAATTCATGAACTTGGGTGATATAGGCTAATTTGATATTTATTGGACTCAATTTGCATTTTTAGTTATAAAAATGGGTGCCGAACTTTGTTAGGCTAATTTGAACACATTTTTTTATCATATATCCAAGCGTATTTAGTGTTTAAGCGTGCAAATGCAGTCAACAACAATGGGTTGACAACATTCACGTGCATACCCCATATGCAGGGCATTTCAAGAAAGCCCAGAGCATATATATGCATTTTAGAATATTTTTTGTCTCAAGTTGCATTGTGGATCTGGAACAATATAAAATGCAATTATCCTATCTCACATCTAAAAGACTAAATAAAAACCATAATCACTAATGTGCTGGGCATAACAACCTTATTCAAGAATTACTTTGCAGCTTTCGAGTGAGTTCAAATCCCTGTTCTCACATGCATGTCTTATACAACACTCAATCTTGCACAAGGGTGTACTCTCATACCATATTCTAATATCAAAGTGTTTTTGAAGTTCATTTATGATAGTTCTATAGCGAAAAACATGGGCAAACATAGTTCTATAGAAGATTGAGATATAGGCTGGGTTAATGACCTAATCATCCTACTGCTAATCAGCAAGCACCAATGCATCATCTTACTCCTTGTGTCCCAACTAGAAGGCTGAAATTTATTTGCCATATCTAGACACTATTTATGCAGGTTACCTTGGGTGGCTTAAAAGGGTAATCCGGTGGGAAGTGAATAGTCACGAGAAACACATCCCATGCAAAAGGGCTATCTGAAGGATACATAATGGTAGCTTGCCAGTGGAACATGTCCTCACCTACAAGCCCTGGAAAAATATTCAACAGTAATTTGAGCTTAAAGCTAAATGACAACAAATTCACTTATTTATGATTACAATTTATTTAAAAATTGCAATTTGAAAGATGCAATTCACAATCAACTTCCCTTTAAAGCAATTAAAAATGTGCCACGAAGTAACTAAATTTACCCAAACCCCAAACAGAGTGGATAAAGGAACAAAAGATTGGCACCTGAAAGACTAGATGAAGTTGAGTTGACATAAAGTTGATAAGTCACATCAACTAGACCTATGGAGAAGTCACATCAATTGATCTTTGGAGGCAGAGGGGATCCTGACAGATATCTTTCTGACAGTGGTGGCAAATGGATCTGTTAAGGGAGTGTCTCGAAGTGCTCAATGCTTCGGAGTTGAGGGACATTTCGGTTGTTTCAACGGATCTACTCTTCACCTTGCAGCACGCCATGTTGAGTTCATCAGGAGTGGGCATCACTTCGGGTAAACATGTGGAACTTCGGGGAGTGGCGTGACTGTTTGTTCCGAAGTGGTTTAGCTAGAGGATGGACACGTGGGAATGGTGTGACTGTTTGTTCTGAAGTGGTTTAGCTAGGGGATGGACATGTGGGAGTGGTGCAACTGTTGTTTCGAAGTGGTTTAATTAGGGGTGTAACAGTGGTCTCCCCAAGTTCAGGCATGGATATTCATATCATAGGTGAACTTGCTTTCCCGATTGTGTATGTCGACCTTGGAGTAAGTATTGTGGATTTTGATAAAGTGCGGATGTGAAAGGATGAAGTAAGCAGACATGTCGAATAGCTATTGGCTGAGGCAAAGTAATGACCGATGTGATGTGGGTAGGGCTTTCTCTTGGTTGCGCCGAAGCTTGTAAAGTAAAAGAGCTCATCTGTCACCAGCGCGTTAACCCAAGGGGACGATGCGTTAGAAGATGGTTAAAAACTTGTAAAGCTGAGGGGTCGTACGATCGAGGCAGTGACCTATAGGAAAATTCGCGTCAGTGGCGTCGAAGCTTTTGAAGCTGGGTGAAGAGAACATCTACCACCGGTACGCTGACCCAAAGGGGACGATGCGTTGGGAGATGGCTAAAGTCTTGTAAAGCTGAAGGGTTGTACGATCGAGGCGGTGACCCACAGGGGACTTCATGTCAATGGCGCCAAAGCTTTTAAAGCTGGGTAAAGAGCTCATCTGCCATCGATGCACTGACCCATAGGGGACGACGTGTTGGGAGATGGCTAAAGCCTTGTAAAACTGAGGGGTCGTGCGACCGAGGCGGTGATCCACAGGGGACTTCGCGTCAGTGGCGTCGAAGCTTTTGAAGTTGGGTGAAGAGCACATTTGTCACAGGTGCGCTGACACACAGGGGACGACGCGTTGGGAGATAGCTAAAGCTTTGTAAAGCTGAAGGGTCGTACGATCGAGACGGTGACCTACAGGGGACTATGCGTCAGTGGCGTCGAAACTTTTGAAGATGGGTGAAGAGCACAAAGTCACCGATGAGCTGACCCACAGGGGACAACGCGTTGGGAGATGGCTAAATCTTGTAAAGCTGAAGGGTCGTGAGACTGAGGCGGTGACCCACAGGGGACTCTGCTTCGTGGCGCCGAAGCTTTTGAAGCTGGGTGAAGAGTGCATTCATCTGAGGCAAATTGGGACGGATTATTTCTGATCTGAAGTATTATGATGACATTAATCAATGTGACAGCTGTCACGTATTTCCAAGGCGACAGTTGAATGTGATGTCTGTCCCCAGAAAAAGGGCTGCTGCGGCTACTTTTTGTTGACAGTTGTTGTTTACTCGAGGTGACACTTTTTATACGTGCGTGAGGGGCACTGTCAGATCTTGGGCGTTGATCAAATCTGACGTTTCATTTCAACGATCCAGATTTGTGACGAGATGAACGGCCTAGATTGACATCGTTTGAATTCAACGGTGGGGATCATCTGGGGTCTCCTATAAAAGGAGAACTTGAGCGTTTTGAGAGGTTTTCACTTTTGTGAAATCAGTCTTTGCGCTCAAAATCTCATAGCGATTCCCGACGATCTTCAAGTGTTTTCGGCAACATTTTCAGTTTTCGGCGGGTTTCAGAGGGCCATTTCTTATTTTTTGACCGTAGAAAGCCCCAATCCGTTTATTTCAGTAAGTATTTATCTAGTTTTTCATGTTTTTTGAATTCTGAAGATGGCTTTTGAGAGTAGTGAGCATTCTGAAGGGGACCTAGAGGTTGTCAAGGTAGATGAGCCCGTTTTGGCCACTTTGGATGAAATTTTCGAGGCGATTTTGGGGGGGAAACCTCTAGGGGTGTCTGACTATCTTTCCAAGTTGAAAACGGCCGACCTGGCTAGGCTTAAGACCAAATATAGAATCTCATATAGTGTGGGTTTGATACTTTTGGGGCCGTATGAGTGAGCCTATTACCCAAGATCGGGGTGCGTAGCTATTATCGAGGCGATATTGAGGGCGGGGCTTAGGTTGCCTATCCATCCCTTCTTTAGATATGTATTAAGGTCCTATGGCCTAGCCCCCACCCAATTGAATCCGAACTCTTGGAGTCAGATGGTGGGTTTGTGGATGTTGTGGAAGGAGGCATCCTATGGGGAGGAGATGCCCTTTTCTGTCTTCCAAACATTGTATATACCCAAGGTCCTGGCGAAGGGTGATAAGACGAAGGGATGGTACTACCTAACTTCCTGGGGGTCTTACACTCCATTCGTGCTCGATCTACCAGGCTCCATCAAGGAATGGAAGAGTTCGTGGTCCTGGGCTTCCGGGAGATGGGACACAATAGAGGTGACCTCCTGGCACCCCTTACTGTTCCCACCAAATACTCCACATTTAGTGAGTACTAGTACTTCGTCTCTGCAAATATGTTTACTTGCGTTCAGAATGTAACTCATCCTTTCTTGCAAGTCCTCTTCCTCGGTGCGAATTGTCTACAGAAAACTTCGATACTATCTGCACCGTCTATCAGTTTTCCCCTAAGAGGAGGTCTTACAATGAGCTGATAAGGAAGAACATCCATTTTGTGGAGCACGAGCTGATGGCCTCCTAAGGTGAGTGCAGAGGTTACATCATGGTTATATCAAACATCTGATTTTCTATCTTGTTTGCTGCAGACGACTTTAACAAGAAGAGGCCTCTGAAGCTGGACTTCAAGATCATCCAAAGGATGATGGCTGAGGCGAGGGCTCTGAAGACGTCCTTCTCGGCCTATAGGAAACAAATGGAGGACTTGACAGCTGCCAGTAAGAAACTCCCCGGGCCGAGGAGGAGGAGCCCTTGCTGAAGAAGGGCAAGAGGGCAGCTGGGCCTGCAGGGGCCCCTACTGTGGCGAGGGCGGCCACAAGGCAGAAGGCATCCCCACAGGGGTTGTGATTGGAAAGAGGCCTAACTGTGTACCTAAGGTGACCCCAGTGTTGGCATCTGCCCCCAATACTGCAGCGCCTCTTGCTCTGGCGGCTACAGAGGAGAGAAAGGAGGGCTCGTCCCTCAATGGAGCAGGATTTCTTCGGCTGCACCTCTGAGGAGCCAATGAAGAAAGTACTGGAGTCCCTCCCTCCAGAGACTGCTGTTGTGGCCTGGATCCATTGCAAATACAGGATTGAGGTCTGGAGGGACCACACGTCGTCCTGCTCAGCCGAAAAATCTCATGGCTACTAACAATACCTGCCTCGCCCGAGGGTTAAGCACCAGTGTTCAACTGGAGCGTCTGGTGAAGGACCTTAGGGCAAAAAATATCGACCTAGTCTAACGGTTGGAGAAGGCCTCTTCTTATGGAGACGAAATGAGGACGGCCTGGGCCTAAGTAGATGAGGCCAGGAAGGCAAAGAAGGCGGTGGAGGCGAGAGCGGCTAAGATCACATCAGAACAGCTAAAGAAAGAACTGCATGAAACTGAATGCCAAGTAGCTGTTCTGACGAGGCAGATTGACCATGCCAACGAGCATCACTGATAAGTGTGTTTTTACACACTTATTTAGCACTTTTTGAGACTTTATTATTGATAAAATTGAGTAGATCTCTATTTATAATTGTGTAATTGTTACTTTTGTAGGCTAAAACCTCGGAAAGAAGTATAACGAGCGAAAAGAGAAGGAAAAGGACTTAAATTGAACAAAATTGTGAAGCTGAGGACTTGAAGTGCAATTATGGAAGGGCCTAAATGTAATAAAAGTTAAATTTTGAGGACTAAATTGCACTAAATGAAAGTTGAAGGACCTGATCTGCAATTTCAAGATTTTTTGGTCAACCTTTTTATTATTTTATCCTTATTTTATGCTAGATATTTTTAGGATATTTATGTTGTGTCTAATAATATCTTTTTTTATATTATATTTTATACATATTCCGTAAATATACTAATATAACTTGGTAGGTAAAAAAACTCTTTCCCAACTCTTTCACTTCTCTTTCTATCTCTCTTGGTCTCTCTCTATCTTTTTCTTGATTTTTTTCTTTTAGTTTTATTTTCTTTTGTTAATTTTAGTTTTATTTTGGGAATCAAGTGGATATAGCAAGGAAATCATTAAGGAAAGCTTGAAGAATACATTGAAGGAATTACAATTCGTATTTAAAAGGGTTTTATCTCAACTTTTGTATTCCTTTCATTTAGTTCTTCATGTTTGTAATGATATGTTTATAAGAATCTCTTTGTTATTTTGTTAGAATGATGAACTAAACAAGTTTATGTTGGAATTTATGTATTAGCTTAACCTATTTTCATTAATATCGTGTTATATGTTGTTAGATATGCATTTGTTATCAAAATATTGGTGTATTAATTATCATGTTTAAGATTACTACATTTATTTGACGTCAATAGATATTGTGGTTAGGTAGTTGTGTAATTATTGAAAAATAGTTGCACATAATAGACCGAAATAATTAATACCATAGGTTTGTATGGTTTCGACTATACGCGTTTAGATATCCAGACATGTATACCTACCCTATGTGACCCGTTGAGTTATTTTCACAAAAATTGAATGTAGTTGTTTGGTTTAGAACGATATAGAAATATGTTA